GAAGCATTCAGATTCTTTGTGTGCAACAGAAGCTTTCCATCAAACTAAACATTGAACTTCTGGTTGCTATTTAATCAACTAGATTACTGCGTGCTCCCTCGGAAAGCAGTCTATAGGTCCTTCAGGGAAATTCCCTAGGCCTTTTATACGCCCTAGCAAACAAATTCGCCGTCTTCTCGTAAGTCTGCTCTACAACGGGCAAGCAAGTTTCCCCACCCTCCTCCCCTTCAGCGGCGCTGGCAAATTTTCTCTATCAGCCCACCTTATGCCTTAAACAAAATTTTTCACCCATAACTTATCCATCAAAAGGCATAAGGTGGCTTTTATGCGAATGTGAATTAGTTACTATTCATGAAGCCCGCGACGGTCAGCGTTCTCGTTGCGAAAACACCGTGATGTGTCACTGGCTAAAGATAAAGAAAGGTTAATTAGATTAACATTTCAAGGGTGTTTTCTTCTTTCTTTTATTATTTCTCTGGCTTTTTATTTAAGGTGATTCCTTAGTAAAAGAACCTAACATAGACTGTAGATGAAACTTGGTACACTGATGTAACAAGTCAAGAAGATGACAAAGAAGTAATAAAAAGTGGGGGTCACCGTGCTCGTTTTGACGTCACAATGCTGACAAATACGGCTATTTTGGACCCTTTGACAAAAACCGCGCGCAGCCCAAAACTAGACAAAAAGGAGAGATTTTTTCGATGATGCATGTGGTATCGCACAGAATTTGACTTTACTGTATTGTTTATCCACTTACATACCAGAAAAATGCCTTTTAATGCTCCCGTTTTTGCTTTACGCTCCAAAGTAGAATTGAATTGGACACGCGCTATTCGACCCGTGATAGCTCAATCCGTACAATTTAGTAAAATTGCCAAAAAACTGAACATAGATTTGGGCCAATTTTTTTCTCATCGAAAGGAAGCACTGTCCTTCAGTAAAACCATGAAATATAAAATGGGGGTCACGATACTCGTTCTTGCGGTAGAGCTGCAGAAAGTACGCACCAAATGCATTTTCTCCTATTTTTGAGAGAGGACTGGGGCGAGTTTCAAAATAGAATGTATGTTAAAGGGGGAAGAAAGTATTAAAAAATCCGTTTTTACAGAATTCACATCGAGATATCACATTTAGGACACATTGTGAAAGAAAACGTTTAAATGAAAATCAAAGTGAGTAAGCACAAGTTAAACTTCCACTATCGAATCGAGGTTCTCCGTGAGGAAGTCGAACTCAGCAACACGCGAACTGCTAACGTTATGCACATTCCCAACACATTGAGTCTCACCTCGGCAAGAAACAACCGCAAGCAAAAATTCCAATAGCGTTTTTCTCCAATCAACTTCATTTTAATAATGTTACTTCACATGCTCTTTTTTACGGCGGCCATCTTGTTATGCGCAGTAAGAGATGCGCAGTGCAAAACCAGGGTAAATCACGATTATATCTTTTTCTTTTCATATTTGTATACACTGTCTACATTGCCCTTCCTATTCCGGTTCCTCTTCCATTTTTTCCCTTATTTTTTGTATATATCTCAATAGGAATTAAATCCAGATTAACTTAAATTAAGGTAAATATTGTCCCTGCTTTTATATAGGTTTCTCTTCCCATTCCGGTTCCTGTTCCGGTTCCGCTTCCTGTTCCTGTTTCTATTCCCCTTAGCATTCCACTTCCGATTCCGCATTCCGGTTTCCGGCTTTTCCAGACGCCCGTTGCTGAGTTGGTACAAGAGCCTTGATGGCACTTGGTTGGTAACAATAGGCCCTTTGCAGCTAGCCATTCACGTGGTACAAAACTGCCGTGCTGGAGAGCAAAAGTGATCGCACTGGGATAAACAAAGAAAATTACCATTTCAAATTATGTATGTCCTTTGTTTGTCTTGTCCCGGTGCGACTTTTGCTCCAGCGTGGCGGTTTTGTACCACGTGAATCGCTAGCTGCAAAGGGCCTATTCAAACTGGTATAAAGTACAAGAAACGTGTAAATGGAACACGAAATTCCGTTGGGAAAGTTCCAATAGGGACTGGGCTTGCCTTTTTAAATTTTCCACTTTTCCGGGAATTTCCCAGTGGGACGAATCGACGAAACGTTTTCCATTTTTTACCTAACCGAAATTTCCGAACATTTTGACTAAATGGAAAGCGCCCAGAATTTCCGTTTGTCCGGGGAAATTTTCCAGTGGGACGAACCCCAAAAATGTTTACCATTGATTTACATCCCAACCGGAATTCCCCGGAATTTGTGGTAAATGGTAAACAACCGCGGGAAAATCTTATTCTCAACCTCGTCCCCAGGGTCTTCTGGCTTTCCAGTATATATATATAATAGCGGCGGCAGGAGAGAAACGTTCAACAGTTGACCACGGAAAGGCGGCCTTGCACCAGGGTTAAGCACAGTACTTTTTGGTTGTCGGCTTCACTGATTTTAAAAGTGCGTGTTCCTGCCTGCAGAACGAAAACCTGGGAAAATATGAAGGTTCTTGCAAACAACTGTGTCTCCAAAATTGAGATCCCAGAAGGAGTGAACTACAGTGGAAATGGAGTTGCTTATAACCCAGTCTTGGGTTTATTTGTGACTGTTGATTGCGACGAGGGAATCTCTGTGTGGAATCCTGTTAGTAGAGAATTGATGGCCGAATGCGACCTCGGTCCTGATGGAGATCTCAACATGACCTTGCTGCCTGGGAATCGTATTGCGGTGAGCCATTCAGAACCGAATCACTGGTCGTCAGTTGAGATTTTGTCTCTTGAGGAAGACACTTTTGGGAATTCACCTGAACTTGATTTAAAAGTGCCTTCTTTAACCTGTCCTGGAGTGATCGCTTTGACCCCGCGAAAGAGTCTTCTTGTGGCAGGTTCGGGGCAGATGGCTTTTAATGAAATATTCATTGACTGGAACAATTCGAAAGTCCTTAAAACGAGAGAACTTTGTGTTCCACTTCCGCCACTTCGTGAAGGATGTGGAGAAGTTAGAATGCTATGCTGTTCTCCAGATGGCAAGGTGATACGAGCTGAATACGACAAACATGCCCTTTCTTCGTTAATAGTAACAAAAATATGTCCTAACAGCGAACAAAAACACCAAGGAAGCGAAGAAGAAAATGAAGAGAAAACAGAATTAGAACAAATTGAAATGCAAGAAGAAGCAACGATAAGTTATTATATGCTGGATGGAGAAAAGAACAAGATTGACCATTTGAGGGGATGTATCCATGATGGGCAAAATTTGATCATCGCAGAGGGAGAGAAAATTGTGTTGTTGGAGTCGTTAACAGAAGGCAGCAATGCACATCTCCTTGTATCAGGTTTAAAACCTGCTGTGGAAGGTTCACGAGAGGAAGTGGGGCTAAATTTGAATCACAAAGGACAGTTAATGGTGTGTGATGACAAAGAATTTATTAAGGTTTTTGAATATAAGTGTAGTCCAAGGTCCCTACAAGATATCTGCAGAAGTGCCATTGTGGATACAATTCAAACTGGTTACAGTGATAAAGTTAAAAGCATGACAATCCCATCAACACTGAAAGATTACTTGCTTTACAAGTAAGCGTACATTATAGGCTAGAGTCTGTCCAGTTCTGAACCCCTAGCAGAGTCTCTCATACAAAACTTACAGGAATGCTCGTTGGAAAATTAAAATTTAACCCCTTAGGAGAGACAAGAGGGTGGGTGTGGCTCAAGCTGACCAAACTGACCTCTAAAAGAGACCATACTAAAACAGACATCTAAATAAGAGCTAGAGTGTTTTTCATTGTGCTTAAGATGTTAATATAGCATGCATTCATCTATGTCCTAAATTTCTAGTTTTCCATACCAGGTATTTAACTCTCCTTGACACCTTAATTTGTTGAAAATCTTCTTGAAAAACAAACTGTATCAATTAAGCAGTGTAAATATTATGTACATCACTGGGGGCGACCCTATAACACGGGTCACGTACGTTTAGTCGAATACAGTTACATAAGGGAAAGTTCATTTAATATGACAAGGGGGGGGATGAAGATATTGAGGGGGGGCTCCGAAAATTTTTAGACACCCGAAGGGGGGGCTCTGAAAAAATTGTTGCGCTAGGAGAGGGGGCTCCGAAAATTTGTATACTTCAAAACCAACATGAACACATGACATCATCATACAGATCGGATGGTTTTCAACTCAACAATTTAATGACCTGTGCAACTCAGCTATGTAGTCTCAGTAATTATTACACTCTTGTTCATCCCAAAAATGCTTTAGAAAATTGTATCACAACTGTATCTCAAGTTTGTCATAGTATAAACCATTGAAGACAATAACGGTAAATATATTTAATACAGNAACTTTCCCTAAGGACCTAAATATTGAACCTTAAAAAGGAAAAAGTGTTTGACTTTTTTTTTGCAAAAAACAAAAACCAAACAAAAAAACAGAGCTAAAGTAAAAGGCACCCACTAGACATGTTGTGTGACAGAAAGCAATTTACTCCCTTTCACACGGGAAGAGGACAGGAACTCACAAATGACATGTTTAACCTGTTAAAAGAGTGATCTTCCAGTTACAAAGCTGTAATATTGTTATTAGTGATTATATTTAGTTATTTTGGAGATATGACATCTCATTTCTTTGCTCTAGAATCTTGTGGAATACTAGAAACGTTTACAAACTATGCCACTTTTACGATCCCTGTGGATTTTTTTGTTGTTCCCTGTTGTTCTGGGTGTCCATGTACACAGGTAATAGATTAACCTCCCAAGTAGATGATCCTGGGCTCTATCATGCAATCATGCAATCCTTTCCCACATTCGTTAGGGAGAAGAGATTCCCTGACTTGGCCTGATTTCTGCTGCTCACCCAGGCTCTTTTCCTCAACAGTAGCTGGTGATTGCCGACTGTGTTGCCTGACAAGCCAAAAGAGAAACTACATGGGAGGCTAATAATAGATACAAGATAGGAGATGAATTTTCAAGTAAATGATGAAAGCAGTACTGATTTTCTCTCAGTTCCTTCTTTTCAATACTGATCAACAGTTCGAAAAAGAAAAAGGAAAGAATCAATTCTGGAGTCACTACTATTAGGGTATGGTTACTTTTGGAATTTATTAATTTGTATCAGATTATGGTGTTGTTTTCAAGGAGGGTTATGATTTTATAGTATAAGGAGCTGATCTCAAAATGCTGTTCATCCTGTAAGGAATTATTGATCGACTAGTAATGCAACATAATTATTTATATCATCTTTCATCTACAACTGCAGTTCAAACATGCATTATCTCATATACTTCACATCAATAAACTTGTAATCCACAACTCAGTTAACTGGGGAGATCCATCTGACTTTTAAGGGTGGGGTTGGGTGATTTTAGAGAAAAAATAATTTGCAAACAGTGCAAGAATGAAACAACATCTAAAATCTTACCTTGAGTTAATAGTCTTATACGTACACCCAATAAATAGAGCTGCAATTACCTTTGACCACAGCAGATTAGGCATGGAAAACAAATTCTGCCCAAGCGAAATGACCTATTTGCCCACCTACACCACCTTAATTTTATAAGGTCATTGGACAGTCTCGAAATATGCCAGCCAATTTACACATCATATTACTCATTGGTTTTATCTCTCTGTCTAAAGGAAAGGCAAAATAAAAAATCAGGCCAGATTTTTTTTGTGGGTCACTACAAGTTTACTTTACAAACCTGGTAGCGCATAAACCAGCCTTTTTACATCACCTCTGAGGTAAACAGAACTATCAGATGTTGTCTCTTGTTCAGACCTCACACAGAATTTGTCATTTTTGCCCTATTTTACTTATAATTCTGGTGTGTTTTACAGAATGATCTAACAACAAAAATCGCACTCATTCAATATTAATTTAGGACAATCAAAGCACACACGTCCCTCCCACAACAAGTTATAAAAATGACAATAACATAAAACGTGTTTTATAAATTATAGAGAATTCACCATTACACAGGACTGTTCAACAGTCGATCAGGTCATTCTGTTGTTATGTAGTATGCAGGCAGGTAATGATTCAAGAAATCACCCGTCCGTCCAGCGACTTATGAATTTTGCCAAGCACAAACTTGTAGTGCAAGCTGTCAGGTGTTTGAATGAACACGAGTAGGAAGAGGTCTCAGAATCATTTTACTTTTAAAACGCCATATTCATTTGATACACGTGGCATTTTGAGTACTCCTGCATGCGATGTTCATGTACGACTGAATACAACGACCGGTAAAGCGCTAAGCAAGAGATCTTGACAAACATTCAAGGCAAGAAATATAATTCAGTGAAACATTTTAAAATGACAACAATTTTTATTCACGAAGACATGTAATGAGAGTGAAGTGTCTCTGAAAATCCTGAGTCAAGAATAAAACCTTGCAGATTTAAACTTAAGCTTAAGTTTTAAGCCGGCTTTGACGCGTTTGCTATTTATTCAAGATAAACTTGAGGCAAGAATCGCTCAAAGCTTTCATTTCACAACCAATAGGATAAATATTCTTCAGAATGTTTTCTTTCTAGTCACGGTCAGAAAATGTCTAAAGACTTTTTAAGTTCTGTAATAGGTCAGATCATAGTCTCAAATCTTACAAATGTGCATAAAGTGATGACATAAACAATGCTTGACTTCATGAAACCAGAAAAAAAACAAACATCAAATATGTAATTACTCAAGCTTACTGGTCGAGATGCAGCTCGTGAAAACTATCACGTACGGCCACAATAGCTGAAGATTTTTCAACCCTCTCAGGCTGCATTTATTATGTATACTGCAGGGAGGGGGGGATTTTTTCAAGGGGCAAAATTTTTCAATATCCCCCTACATCATACAGATGACAATCCCCCCCCCCCCAGTCTTGAAAAGGAAAGTTAAATATGGGCAATATGATGAAATGGTGCAGAGATTAATGTTTAAAATAGAAAACTAAAAGCAAAAGGTAACCAAAGGTTCACAAATTTATGTACTTTACTAACAATATTACAGATAAAACTGGCTAATGTTCAAGTAAATTTAAAACAATCGCTGGTCTTAATACAGAGCCTAACACAAGGCATTAATAAAAACACTTAAAACAAATGCAAAAACTTTTAAACTTTGGAGCAAGTTCTGTTGTAAGTACATCTTACTCTTTTCCGTTATTCTACCATTTCACGAAAAGCAGATCTTAAACAACAAAAGGAAATAGGACCACAAAAGAAACTTGGGGAGCTCACAATATGGAAAACTGATACATTTTGGGCTGTTCTGTTGTCACAAAAACAAACCGATCTTAAACAACAAAAAAATGAAAACAGAGGGACCATAACAGAAGCTCAGGGCAGGAGGCACACATTATGGAAAACTAGTACATTTTGGGCTTGTCCATGCATAAAAGGAATATTACTTTTAAAAAGAGGGAATGTCATCAGCATATTACACACAATGTAAAAGATTAAAATATTGTGTGTAAGAAAGCCTGTGTCATAAGTCATCCAGATGTTTCCGCGCCTCGATCACTAGTCCATCATCATCACCCGATGAGCCCTCCATTAAATCAGAGCTAATTCCAGCACCACATAAGGATACACTTGCACTGGGTGGGGCAGCTGAAGGAGAATAATTTATTATAGCATGAAAAAAGTTTACAGGGCAGACAAAATAATTCTAACTTCTTCGTTCTTTGGATAAAATGCTATGGTATGGAGATGGGGCCAGGGTTGTCCAAACGTCATGCCTCCCATAGCTTGCATTCCTGGCTCCCATGCCTGTTTTTCTTGACTTCCTCCCTTTAGCCCCTTTTTCGACTGCAAAATATTAAGAGTTGTGCATAATTCCCCCTATTTCTCCCACTTCCCAGCCTTTTAGAACTCCCACCTCGCACCCTTTCGTCTCCCGCCTCCCATACCCCTCCCCCTGTCCTGCCTCCTATTCTCCTGGGCTCCCTGTCCTCCCCTCCCCTATACCTCACTAAAAATAATAATATTTCAGATGGATTAATTTTGAGTCAAACTGACTGTTAAAATGTAAGGTCCAGACAATAATAGATTATTACCAAGAAATCTGATTGCATTTTTTTCCTGGAAAGAGCTTAAGACATTGCCAGAACCTATCCTTCTTTGGTTGAGCAAAAAAAAAGGCACTAGGAAGATAGAAGGTTCTCCAAAGGTTATTTCTCAAAAACAAAGTGGGAACTAGTGAACGAAAAAATGGTCACACCTCAAAATTAAGTTACTTTTGTACAATTTCAAACTTTAAAAAACGAGCAAAAAACACTGCAAAATTATTGCCTGGAGCACTTCAACTGAATTAGAACTGTAGCTTTTGACCTCACCTGTAGTTATGAGAGTGCAAGAGGCGACTGTTCTTGATATACTGACAACAAACTGCTTTTGGGCTTGCTTTGCTCTGGAAAAATATGACAAAGAATGGATCAATTAAAAAATTTTCCCAGGAAACATGGATCAAATTTATTTGAATGACCAAAAAAAGATTTGGGAATAATGGTTCAATGACCCTTTGAGAAGAGGCCAAGACAAGGCAGCACAAGGCAGTTTAAATATATCAGCTGAAGAAAGAGTTTGTATAGCATAAGTTTCTGTCTCCTTTTAATCACACAGGAAAAGTGCAGAAGACATGTGAAGGCAAGGGAAAAAAAGCAGGAGTGAGGGGAAGGGGCACCCCCGCTTGTTCAGTTTTTTTTCCTCCTTCTCTTGTGTGTTACCTATGTTTCTCCTGCTTGGTTAAAAGGAAACAGAAACAACTCAGGCCCTAATCCACACAGGTTTCCACCATTCTACAGAAATCGGTCAGATTTTTCATAATAGACATATCTTAAATTTAAGAAAATTTCCAAGTTGAAATCGAAAGATGAAACAATCTCCCAATTTGCAAGCCTTCATCTGAGGGGAGAATGAAACTGGCCAATGTCCCGTCTAAATGCCGACTCAGAAACCCAGGAAAGAAGACTTTAGGGAGTAAAAATCCCAAAAATTCCCTATGGACCCCCGACAGGCTTGCGCCTTTGGCACTCATTTAGGGAACCAGTCAGTATTTATCCTAGATCCGCATGTGCAACTGCTAAGCAGGATACTGAGGAAGATACTCACAAACTAACACCAGCTGCTTGGTGAAGAGCTTGAATACTTTGTAGTTTGCAGTGTCTTCTAACAGCTAGTAAAAAATGTACAAAGATAGTTATGCAACACTTGACCTTACCCCATTTGCCAGCTCATGCTGGTGACTCCACTGCTAAAATTTTCCCTGCAATCGCACACAAATGAGCCTGCTCAGAGGCTATTAAAACAAATACAAGCAATGTGACCAGCAACCAGAAGCAGGTGAACACATATCATGCACAAAACTAATGAAGGTATAATGAAAATTCAAAAGAAAACTAATCGCTTAAAATTTTTAGTACAATCAAAATTTCTCACACAGTCTCATAAATGATAGTACTGCTCCCGTATAAATAATTTATTATCTAACAGGAAAGGTCCCTATGGTCCCCGGAACTTGGGTGACCTGTGAATGGAGCATTCCAAGATACACCAACCGATGTTAGCCTGTGTACAGCCGCCCCTTACCTCATAAAAATCGGAAAGGAGCTCCTTTCCGATTTTTTTGAGGTAAGGGGCGGCTGTACACAGGCTAACCGATGTTGACGTTTAGTATGAGTCCGATGCATTAAACATTACAATTTTGATTTACTGCAATAAATTTCGTTAATAGGCAGACTATTAATTTTATACATTTAGAAAAATGAAAGTGTGAGCCGTTAAATTCTACTAATGTATTATCAAGCTTATATAAGTTAAGCTCAACGCCTTTATAAGTTAAAAGCACACGTGCAAACGCGAATACATCATACCGTTTATTGTACCTTGCGATGAAATTCGTCCACCTTGCGAACCTGTCGTCTTAAAAAAGAAAGCAAATTTTAATATAATAACTCAAAAACTAAAAAAGGAACTTAAATTTACCTGTAAAATCATTCGAGAAGCACTTCGTAAAGATCGACTTGCAAACGACGCCATTTTGTTTTATGATTCGTACCAGTTCACCACGGTCACTCGTGGTACTGAAGGGATTGGATTCTACTTGACAGAGGTTATTAGGCGCCATCTTTGATTTCGTCGTCTGAAAGACAAGAACGAACTGTTAATACAATTTTCGAACGTTTTTTTCCTAATGATTGAAATATCTGAAGATATTGACTTGGCCTATGCACTCAGCTTGCAAGAAGAACTCGATCGAGAGCAGGAGAATGAGAAATCAAGCCACGATTTGGCGAGTTTATCAGCTTTATCAAGACCAAGCACACTAGCGGCCGCTCCAGTCTCTGTTGTAGATGATTCGTGGGAACTCATTGATCCGATTCCTGATGTGCGACAGTTATTCTTGCAGTTTAACGATGTCTATTTTAAAGGACTCTTAAGCTCCGTAGAAGTAAGATGGAGTCCACGGATGACATTGTAAGTGTTTTCGTAAATGAAGCATCTAGAAATTTGGCGCCAAATTCATTATTTATTTAGATTTTTTCTGAGATCAATAATGGAAGCTTCATAGCTAAGATCGATTCATAGCTGCCTCTCGATTTTCGGCTTAACTGCAGAATACCTTGCCACTGTAAAGCAACCCCTAAAAATAGTTGGATATGCGGATACCCAGGGGGTGTTTACATGACACCGGGACAACTTTCGCGCCGGTGCTAGTTTACTCCGGTTCCCTATCATGGCTCTGTATTTGTTTACATGACACCAACACAAAATTTCATGCCGGTATGAGTCACACCGGCATGAGTTCACCCCGGTTGTTGTACAGGAGCAAGAATTTCACCCCAGTACAAAATTACACAACAGTATCATGTGAACGCAAAACAACCACTCGTTTCGGTGTGAAATTGCTTTGCAGGTAGACTTGAGTGGGTAGCGCACGCACAATGTTTGCGATTTTGAATCACAATCATGTGTATATTATCAACATGAAGTATACCTTCATATAAACACAATATGAAATGACCCAGTCATTGTGTAAACATGATAAAAAATCAAGAAGTCATCCTGGTATGAAAGTCACACAGGTGCGAGTTTTCTCATGTACACACCCCCTTAGACACTTAAAACAGGGTATAAAGCACATAGTATGTCTATTTGTCGTTTTTAAAGCCAGTGAAGGTAGAAAAGCGCATAAAAGAGAGAACTGCGTATCCACGTAATGTAGCAACGTTAAAATTTTGTCGTGGAAGGGGTGGAGCCCCGGTGGGGGTTGTGGGGGAGGAGTTACTCAAGGAAGGAAACTGCATACCCTGTCTAAGACTGTAGACCAGAAAACCCTTAAGGGAGTGCTCTCCAGAGGGGACAGAGGGGATCAGGGGCAGGGGTGGGTGGAGGAGCAAAGTATAGCAGAATTCAGGACAAAGCTCCTAAGTTACCAGTCAACACAGCCTGACCACCAGCCACCCAGTAACAGGCCACTTATGTATGCCTGTCTTTTCAAGGTTTTTAATACAATTCCACATATAATGATATCATATCAGGAAACTGATATGATATGTCTGTCATATCATATATAATGATATAATGACGTGATATAACATGTTTCATTTTGTTTTGTACTTTGCTCTTTTGAGGTAACCTTCATTTCAGTACTGGAACAATCCTCATTCATAGGTTCCATTTATTGAAGAGTAGAGCATCTAGCACCTCTTCTTAAACGACCGTGAATCCTCTATTAAGCCCCCTGGGGGCTTATTTATTTCAAGCCCATTTGAGGGGGGGGGCTTATTTGAGAGGGAGAGCTTATTATAATATTATATATTATTTAGAAATGACGATGGTATCAGTTCTCCTTAAAAAACTAGAATACAAAGTGGAAAAGCTCAAGTGCAAGAAGTTTTAGGTCATGCAGCTGAGGATCAAAATCAAATCCGAACTTCCAGATCAATCCACACAAAGTTTTACAGTCGTGATTGATTAATACAGTCTACTATTTATTAGTGAAGAATAATTAGGGGTGGGGAGGGGGGCTTATTAATGTTCTTTCCCTGAAAAGGGGGGTTTATTAGAGGGAGGGGGCTTACTTGAGAGGGGTGGCTAATTAGAGGATTTACAGTATCTTCTTTTATTCTGTCAGGTGTGCTGGACTGTGTTGTTATGAGGGTCGTGGAGGTTTGTGTTCTATTCGACTCAGTGAACCTTTGCTAAAGCTTCGTCCAAGAAGAGACCTTGTCCAGACATTACTGGTAAGGTGCCTTCCATGATTTCTGATTGAATACCCAAAGAAATGTTCATTTTTAATACTTCATCACTATCAGCATTTAACAAAGGATACCATTGCTTATTAGTCTTGCATATTAGATGATTATTTGATCATTATTTTTGGTGCTGCAAACAGCAGAGAGAGATCAACTTTGAAAAACTGTTGGGCTGAACAGTTTTCAAAAACCCTAATTTCAATCCGTTTCAATCTTCTTCAGTTTTTTCCATCCATGGAATCTGTCGTACATATCTGTTTTGTTATTTTAACCTTCGTTTAATGTTTGAAGCAGTTATTTTTAAGTTTCTCTTAATCTAACGGGCATTTTGTAATTACCTAATTTGGCTGAATTTCATGGCATAGCTCCTTTAGAGGGTTAATCCTTATATTTGTGCATCTGCATAGTACAAATTGATAAAAATATTTCATCAAGTACTATTTTTTCTGTGATTTTTATTTTAGCATGAGATGATCCACGCATTGTTGTTTGTGACCCAAAATAATAAGGCAAGTAATGAAAATTAACTCTGCTTTATTTCCTTATTGCTATTGGGTTTTATAACAGATTTTGTTCCCTCTTACTCGTCAAATAAATAATTATAACAACAATAATAAATTATTTAATTAATTACTGCTGGAAAAATGCTGGTCCAAGTTGTTCAATGTAGGTGGCTTTATCTAGTTAGAGATAGGTGGTGGTTAACATTAACTCAAACATCTAAGTTAGCTTGAAACAACTTATTGAACCTGGTTTCTCAAAAGATAGTTGAGCATAAATCTGGGTTAAGCCAAATTTTAAGCAAAGTTTTCTTGTTTAGGAACAAGTAACCAGGGATGTAGATAAGAGACAGCTACTGGTGAATTTCACCGGCTGAGCAAGAGCTTCCTAACAGCTTAAATTGGCCATTTGCACGATGATGTCATTTTACTACTACGACCAGAATCCCTTAGGATTTTGCTTTCTTTTGCAAATTAGGGTTTTTGTTATCGAAACCTCACTAGGATTACCAAATTAAAATATGAAAGCAAAAACGCAAAGGATTCTGGTTGTAGTAGTAAAATGACGCCATGTTGCAAATGGCCTATTGAACAGGGAAACAACGATTTGGGGTAATTTTGAAGGTGAAGTGAAGAAAAAGTCGCTTGACTTATGAAGAAGCTTAAGTTGCTTTTCCTTAACTACATCCGTGTGGAACTGGAGCTAAGAAAATCAGGTTCAGCCTTGACTGTGAGACACAGTTATGACAACACAAAGTGATACTTAAATAGCCTATTTGAAGGTGAATACAATTTTTATTTATTGTGAATTAAAATTTAAATCCTGGTTTGGATTGCACAAATCAGCCTCTCAGGAAAGCCACCTTCATCATTAACTTGCTACTATCTACATACCCCTCCCTGAAGTCACAATTTTGCCCTAAGTGAGAAGTAAGTGGTAATGTCAACTTAGGGGAGGGGTAGGTGGTCAGATACCCAGAAACCTTCAATGATCCCCTACAGATCCCCAAAAAGAGAGGTATGTTACCAGGGGTAACCAGGTGTTGTTGGAGCATAAATCTAAGTCTTCTTTCAATCTTTCAGGATCATGATGCCCATGGACCAGAATTTCTTAAGCACATGCAGAGAATAAACGCAGAAAGTGGTGCAAAAATTACTGTAAGTATTCAATGACGAGTGTTTTCCCTTGGGATAAAATCATTTGCAGCAGAAACTTACAGCCATCCAATTTGCATGATAGAAATTTTTATTGTTTTCAATCCTAAAAGTAGTGAGAAACGCCAACGCCCAAATGTGACAGCTATATGTGCATGCTACCAATGAGAGCACCCTAAACAACATCTGGTATCCATTAATTTATTGATCACCAGGATTGCTGAAAAAAACGTCCTGGATTACAGCAATTCTTTGGAAACAAATTTTCATTAAGTGATTGTCGTGATTGTTGCAAGAGGGATCACCAAGATAATCTTCACTGTAGTCTTAAGGCTGGTTTCTGTATAATGTGAATGTTCCTTTTCCATTGTAAATGTCTCTTTATTTACAAACTGTCAAGTTCAGCTAAGGTTACGATTTATTTTTGGGGACATTTTTCATCGGTGAACCTGCCACTGCACCTCAGTAAATAGTCTGAAAATGTTTTTTTTTTAATTGTGCTCTGCAGGTTTATCACAACTTTCATGATGAGGTGAGTTGTGGTGCTATCATTATTAATAGGGACTTCCATACAACCCAAAGCGATTCTTGTAGTACAGTTTTAGTACCATTTATGACATCATACATGTTTTTAGAATAAACGCCCTTGATAAACAACCAATAAACAAAGACAGAAGAAAGAGTTGTGGGTTATAGTTTTTTTTTTAATCTTTGGCATAAAAAAAAACCATTTCAAGGCTGTGCTCTAAGGAAAATTGAAGGGAGCCTTGTAAAATCCAGGGTGCCCAGCATATGATTTGAATGAAAAAAGTAAGATTTCTAGTCGTCCAAGAGCAAAAGTTGGGCACCAGGAACCACTGGGCTCTGCTAGAGCACAGCCCCTCATTTAGCAAAATTTTCCATTGTCTCAAATTAAACCCAACAGCATATTACAACATCCCTAATCTAAAGAGTGAGACAAATTTTCAGAGAATACTAAGTTTGACAGCCCTTTTTACTTAATTCAGGTGGCTTGGAGTAATGTGCCATACAAACGACAGTCACCGTTCTTGGTTAGAAATGTTTCTTTCTTGAAAATATTTTTTTATTCATCTTACTAAATGAAATTTAAGATAAGAAGAGAGAGACCAAGTTATGGTCACATGAGTCATCAGAGATTGAAGACGGTGGGCCAGTCGAGTTAACCTATTCACGGCCAGACGACTCGTCCTCCAGTGTCCAAGTTTGGAACCGGTCTGGTTGTGAGTCCCAGAATTTTATTTACTCCTCTTACACGACGGAAACTTGTGACATCTACAAAGGGTTATACATTCTAGTCTTCTCAGATAAGGACAAAAAACCGCAGGTGCTGTCTCATAGCTCTTTCACTGTTCTGATTCCTGTGGAACATAAAAAAAAACCCACACTGATGTTGGTAAAGAGTAGGGGGCATAGGCACTGATGGTGTAGTACAACCTTTCATGGGCTGGGTGGGTAATGAAGGGGTGTATTTCAATATTGGGATGTAAGTCCTGTTTCATCCCTGTCACTGTGTTGACTCACCATGGCAAATTCAATAAAGGAATTCCGAATCTGTGGATGAAATCATACAGTGATACAGTGAAATAAAACCTCTTCGGTTGAACATTTGCATAGTACTATTTTTTTCTTAGGACTGTTCAAAAAGAAATGTGGATTTTATGTCTGGATTTCCTCTTTGGACACTGTTTTGAGTGAAAGGCTTAATGTCTTTCTTTTATCTGATTTTTAAGGTCAATGTTTATCGTCAACACTGGTGGAAGTGCGATGGTCCATGCAGCAAGAGACCACCTTATTATGGGATGGTCAAAAGAGCCATGAACCGAGCACCTTCTGCAAGAGACCCCTGGTGGGCAGACCATCAAAGAACGTGCGGTGGGACCTACACAAAGATTAAAGAACCTGAAAATTATGGTGCAAAAAAGACTAAATCAAAAGAGGGGAAAGGAAAAAAAGACTTAAAAACAGCATCAGCTAAGGGCAAAGGAGAAGGGAGTGAGTCTGGTGCATTACAAAAGTTTTTGAAACGAAAGAAGTCTGATACTGACAGTGGTGGTAGTGACTCAGACAAAAGCTGTGAAAATGGAATTAAGAGAAAGAAAGGGCCATCAGAGGAAGGTGCTAAAGCTTCATCAATTAATGGTGGAGTAGTAAAACCGAATCACAATCAACCAGAGACGTCCAGGTGGACTGCTGATGTAATACCATTTTCTGGTCCTGGTAGGACCTTAGGTTCAAACTCCACAGAACCCAAGTCAGTTTCACAGGACTGTGGAAGATCTCTTGTTGGAAAAGCCAGTGAGACTACTAAGTCATCTGTTGTTGTTATCAAAACTCCTTCCCCAAACAAATCCAAGAAAATTCCATTGCCAACTCTCACTATAGTGGATGCTTTTCAAAGAGCTAAGGACAAAAGTAAGAATGGCAACAGTGAAAGTGACTCTTTAAGAAGCCCTCTATTAGGATCTCAGAGAAAGCCTATCGAGCTGGATAGTTCTCCAAGCCCAAGCACAGGTACCCCAGGCAGTGTTCACTGCCCTGCATGTCAAGCTTTAGTTTTGCAATCCAAAATCAATGATCATCTTGACTCCTGTTTAAATTGAGTTGACTGCATGTTTTGCTAGTAAATCTGTTAGTCAGTTCTTTATTGAGACATAATTATTGTACATTCAAATTTGTAGCAAAGGTGCATATTTTTAATGTTGTTAAATTATAATATTTTATTGTCATGGAAAGTATTTTATCGTATATCATAGTATGTGTATATTATTATCATAAATAAAGAGTATTTTTTCAGTGAAATATCACTCAGACCAGTTTCATCAATTATAGAAACATTCTAAAACAAAGTACTATATTTAACGGGGCTATAGACCTCTTTCATAATGGTGGCGTATTAATATATTCTTTTATGTATATGATAATAAAAGCCTTTTTGACCTTGTTAGCATGTGCAAAATACAAGAAGATTCTTACTTTCAAACGAGGTCAGAAAGGCTAATTATCATACACGTAACAGGATATATCAATAGAGTGGTTTTCGTTTGAGTGTCGTAAAACCAAAACCAAAGTAATTACTCTGGCCAATCACATAGGACACAGACAATACATTGAACCAATCAAAACTCGAAGTAATTACATGTGGCTGACGCAAAGCGCGGGAAAATGCATGCGAGCGCGTCACAATTGGCTTTGGTTTTACTTCTGATTGGATGAAAAGGTGGCGCGAATCTTTTA